GACTCTCTGGACCTAGGTGTTTCTGAGCAAAGTTTTGTGGGATCATGCGTTGCTCAGAACCACAGCCCTAGCCCTGGCTGTTTCTGCTCACTGTCATCAGCCCAGCATCTGATCCCAGAAGCCTCTGCCAGCTTTGAATGCTGCAGTTAAGTGTTGGTGACACCTTTCTCTGTGCCAGTCCCTGGGCTGGGCGCCTCAAGTTGAGGCAACCATTTCCTTGGACAAGTTGGAATAGCCTGTGCTTATGCCGTGATGTCACTGGCATCTCGGGCTCCTGTGCACTGCAGCTTCGACAGTGAAAAGGCAGGGGACCGGGAGGTGCAGAGGACCATGCTGGAGCTTCTGAACCAGCTGGATGGCTTCCAGCCCAACACCCAAGTAAAGGTGAGTAAAGAAAATACAGCTCAGCAGCTGGCTGACCCGGCTCAGGCACTGACAGACTTGGGACTCTGTCTTTCGCACACCCTGGCTGCCTCCTGTTAGAACCATGGCTTGTGCCTGTGGGTGGATATACTGCTCATCAGTTCAAGCTGCTGCTTCCCCCTCTTCCTTAGGTAATCGCAGCCACTAACAGAGTGGACATCCTGGACCCTGCCCTGCTCCGCTCAGGGCGCCTGGACCGCAAGATTGAGTTCCCAATGCCCAATGAGGAGGCCCGGGCCAGAATCATGCAGATCCACTCACGGAAGATGAATGTCAGGTCAGCTGCAATAGCAGTTTTTGGATCCTTGGTTCTCACAGCTCCTGTTCTGTGGTTCCTCAGCCTCTGACCACCCCTTCCCTTCCTATGCATGCACATAGCCTGCATTTCTCCTCCACTGCCTGAGATAGAGTTTTGCTGGGGCTCAAACCCTACTTCTGGTACTATGGTACTTAGTCACCTGCTCCTCATCCTCCTGTCTGAAGATGCATAAACCTCCACAGCCCCAGCCTGGCTTAGGAGAATCTGACCAGGACCAGACAGGTGATCTGAGCTCAGACCTGTAAAACTTTCAGAGGTGGCCTAACCCTCTAAGCATGTTCTGTTATTTGAAACTCACCGTAATTAATTAGTCCACTTTGGGAACTGGCCATGATGATGTCTTTTTTTTCTCTCCTGAGCCAGGGTTTCTCTGTGTATCCCTGGCTGTCCTGAAACCCGCTCTATAGACTAGGCTGATCTCAAACTCTTATTATGTATACATTGCTCTGTGTGCATGTATCCTTGCACGTCAGAAGAGGGCACCAGATCTCATTATGGATGGTTGTGAGCCACCATGTGGTTGCTGGGAATTGAACTCAGGTCCTCTGGAAGAGCTGCTAAGACTCTTAACCTCTGAGCCATCTCTCCAGCCCTCAACTCCTTATTTTATACTGAGAAGAAATGTCAGGGTGGGTAGACTTGCCGGCCAGCAGAAGGGCGTTGACTTTATTGCTTGATGGTGCATAGTAGAACATCTCCCTATTCCCGTTCCCTCCCATGAGTAACCAAGCTCTGTGGTGTCTGTCCTTTCTCCAGTCCTGATGTGAACTATGAGGAGCTGGCCCGTTGCACTGATGACTTCAATGGGGCGCAGTGCAAGGCCGTGTGTGTGGAGGCGGTGAGTGGTCAAGGGACGGGTGGGTTGTTTCAGCCTCCCCTTCCCTCGGATAGGCCTTTGGTTGTTGGGCTCAGGGTGCAGGGAGGCACCCTAGCTCATACCTGTCCTGGCTGCAGGGTATGATCGCACTACGCAGGGGTGCTACGGAGCTTACCCACGAGGACTACATGGAGGGCATCTTAGAGGTACAGGCCAAGAAGAAAGCCAACCTGCAGTACTATGCCTAGGACCTCCAGTCTGCCCACTGCTCTGTGGGCTAAAGCTGATAATAAAAGATGTTTTCTGTTCCCTGCCACCTGTCTGTCTGTCTTACCCTCTGTGGACTCTGGGTGGGAATGGCATGTATGGAGGAGGTCTTTTCCTCAGTATCTGCAACCTCAAAAATCCCAGATAGCCATGGGCCCCAAACCAGCTGTCTGGGTGAGGCCCTGTGACAGGGAAGGCACAGCTGTTGCCTGGAGTCTTCTTCAGTCCCCTGTCTAAATATCTTTAAGTCTTCTCTCCCCTGTTCCCCGCCACAGCTCTGACCTTTTTAGGGGCTTGTGGCCTTGGAGTTCCAGAAGGAAGACCCTAAAGAGAAGCTAGAATTTCCCATTTTGCATTTCAATGCTCTAGTTTTTGTTCTGGTTCTTGAAATAAACCCCAGTGTCCTAGCTTGTGGGTGTCCTGTTTCTCCACAGGTCTTATTAGCCTCTCAGTCCATTTTTCTGGCTCACAAAGTAACCTTGCGCGAAATCTATGCTGAAAGCCATTCAGGCCTAACCTTGTGCATCATGCTGCTCTCCCCCAACCTCACTCTGCTGTCTGCCCTGCCCTTTGGAGCCCCAGCCTTCAGTCTGCCAGCCCTATGCAAGCTGCCCCAGGTGCTAAGGTTACAGGCATGTCCCACCATCCCTCTCCTTTTTAAAAGTTCATTATGTATAATATTGTGCCTGCACGTATGCCGCATGACAGAAGAGGGTGCCAGATCTCATAGATGGTTGCAAGCTACCATGCGGTTGCTGGGAATTGAACTCAGAACCTCTGGAAGAACAGCCAGTACTCTTAACCACTGAGCCATCTCTCCAGGCCTCACTATTCCCAGTGGTGCTACGATAGAATCCAGGGTTTAGTCTATGTTGGGCAAACACTACTACCTGAGATACATCCCCGCCCCTGTAGAGGTCTTAATGCATACTTTTTATCAGGATAGCCACTGTAGAGTTCATGTGTTGTTACTTTTTGTGTGTGCATGCACATGTGGTCAAGAAGTGTGGCTATCAGAAGACAACTTTGTGGAGTCAGTCTCTTCTTCCACCTTTATCTGGGTTCTAGGGATTGAACTCAGATTAACAAGCTTGCCCAGTAAGCACCTTTACCCACTGATCCATCTCACTGGCCTGGGTGTACCGTTTACAGATGCATTTAAGGCATAACGAGGTGGTGTATCAGCACTTTTGAGACAGGGTCTCACTATGAAGTCTTGGGTAGCCTGGAGCTTTCTATGTACACCAGGGTGGCCTTGAACTCTGGTTGTGGTCTCAGATTAGTGCTAGGGTTAAAAGCACGAGCCACCTTGCCTGGCTCCCATCATTCAATTTTCATTGAGCTATTGCTTTGGCAGCCCTGAATGGCCTTTCAAATTCAGAATTCTACTTTATTGCAAAAGAGTAAGAATCTCTTGCTGGGTCTGGCTCAGCAGTTAAGAGCACTGACTGTTCTTCCAGAGAGCCTGAGTTCAATTCTCAGCAACCACATGGTGACTCACAACCACCTTGAATGAGATTTGGTGTCCCCTGCTGGCATGCAGGCAGAAGATTGTATACACAATAAATAAATAAAATATTTTTAAAAAAAGAGCCGGGCTGTGGTGGCGCACGCCTTTAATCCCAGCACTCCAGAGGCAGAGGCATGCGGATCTCTGTGAGTTCAAGGCCTGGCTGGACCGACAGCCTCCAAAACAATACAGAGAAACGCTGTCTCGAAAAACCAAAAAAAAAAAAAGAATCCCTTGCATTTCCCTTTCCGAGTCCCAGCAGACATGACTATACCAGTCTACTGTCAGCTCCACGGGGTCACCTTGCCAGCTCTCTAGTTTTCCCTCCCACATGTGCTGACTCACTGAGACTGCATGCTGTCTGTTGATGGTGGTTTGACTGTGTCTTGCTCCAGGAGCTGAGCAGCTGAAGTGTTTCTGATTTTGTCCTCTAACCTAGGCTTAGTTGCCCCCTCCTTTCCAGCGAGATAGAATTTGCTCTTGGCCATGAGCCAAGTGAATGCAGGCACCGCCCTCACCTTTCTGGGCTTCCTCGCCGTGCAGAGCCCCTTCTACACCCCTGGGGTGGAGTGCAGTGGTGGACGTTGATCCTTGGCATGTGCTAGCAGGACTTCACACCACAGTGGCAGCCCTGAGCACCTGCTACAGGAAAGACAACTGGGCTTGGACCTTTGATTCCTGAGGTCCCTGGACAGTTATCTTACTGATGTCAGCCAGGTGCGCCACATCTCCCTGGGATTGACGAGCTGGTAGAACACTGACAGCTGAGCATTCCCAGCTAAGGCGGCAGCTGATTTGGTTTCCCACCTACTTGCATTAGACTCTGCACAGATGGCTTATCCCAGCCAGTGGGCTGCTGAAGGCTGCTTCGTTGGTTAGGGAAGAGTGGGAAGCTCTTCCTGTAGCTACTAGTGGAGCAGCAGTGCCTCCTGGTGTGATGGCCATGGTGCAGCCAGGAAGGGGGCCTAGTATGGACCCTTTTTCCTCCTGTCTATGTTTGGGAGCTGGGTGCTGTGAGGATGCTCAAGTGACATAGATAGGGTCTCATGGAGCCCAGGCCAGCCTTGAATTCACTGTTAGCCTGACGTGTTACTACTACACCCAGTGCTCCTTCCCCCATGCCCTTCTTTCCCTTGTTTTTCAAAATGGGGTTCCATGTAGCCTGGGCTGGACTTTAACTCCAGTTCCGTCTGCCTCCATCCTGAATGCTGAGATTATAGTGTGACACCACACCTGGCTCTCTCTCTCTCTTTTTTCCCTAGACAGGGTTTCTCTGTATTGTTTTGGAGGCTGTCCTGGAACTCACTCTGTAGACCAGGCTGGCCTCTGCCTCCCAAGTGCTGGGATTAAAGGCATGTGCCACCAACGCCCGGCTCACCTGGCTCTCTTAAATGAACTATCATCCCACTGAAGTCAAAGCTGGAGAGGACTTCATGGTCCTAACTCACTTGCTAAGGATTGCTGAGGGGAAACAGGGAAGTAAATATCCTTAGCTTTATAGGTCCGTAAGATCAGTGATGGTGATGAAGGCTCAGACGTGTATTCAAGCATTAATGGGATAAAAGGCTAACCGTGAACCAGGCATCGAAATAGGAAACCTTCAGAGATGCACAGCATGTGTAGTGGATCTGTCCAGAGCACCCCGCTAGTATGTGAGACAGGCGCAGTCTAGGTAATATTTATTTATATCTATAGAACAGGTATTTACAGATAAGATGAACCACAGTATAACTGCTATGGAATCACGCAGACTTTTCAGTGGCCACCTCTAACACCCACAGTTGAGCAGCAGGGCTGGAATCTGGCTGGAGAGTGGGCCAGCTGAGTACCTGGACGTCAGCCAAGGGAAACAGTTGGGGATTATGGCTTCAGCATTCTCCCAGTTCACATTCCTGAGCACTGACAGTGTGGAGCCCTCACCACCCCCACCTTCCTCTCAACCCAAAGGACTGGGGCCTGAGCAGGGAAGGGCGGCAAGGCTCTCCCTGTCGGGTATGTCTGCTGGACCCTGTGCTGGCAGCAGCATCCTGGAGCTGCACTGGGAGACTAGCCTGAGACCTGCCTGCTGCCTTGCAGACTGCAGTTTGGCGGTTAGGGGTGGTGAGCTGCCTGTGAGGCCAGGAGTATTTGCTGGGAAGCATGAGCCCAGGCTGCCCCCCCCCCCAGGAGGAGGCCTTTGAGAGGCTGCCTGCTCATGGCTGGGTGGGGTAGGAGTCAGTGCTGAGGGGGGGCTGCAAAGCGCCCACCTCCCTTTTCTTTGGCTGTCGAGGCGGTGTAGGAAGGGTCGGGGAAATGGACAGCAGAGAAAATTCGTGCAGCCTCTGCCTCTAAGGTGCTTGGGGCCTGAATGATCAGACTCTTGATTACTCTTGGGTTAGAGGCCCAGCAGGGACAACTCTGGTTCTCTGTGGCCCTGGGCATCTTGGGCTGCTTTCTTTGGGTAAGAAGTGAGGTCTGTGCTGGCACCAGTGCTGTCATTCCTTGCTGCTAGATGACAGTGGGGTGGCTGGGCAGGTGCTACTCTGGGCTCTGGACTCTGCACACAGGGATCACAGTGTCGGTCTCTCTCTCTCTCTCACACATCCGGCTGCACATGCACACCACACACCCTCTCTGTCCAGTGAGAGGCTGGCTCGAGCATCCACCCTCTGCCTCACACACAAAGTGACAGAACAAGTCGGTTCTCTTATTGCTTGCTATGCAGAGTGGTCTGTCAGGAATGGTCATTCAACGAGGAGCGAAAGCAGCACCATCACCACAATGCCGGAGCAGAGCAGCAGCACCTGCTGCAGGGAGTGCCTGTTGGGACAGGGTGGACTTAGGTGCACGGGCGCGGTGGACAAGGTAGTCCCTCCTGGGTCCCGTCATTGGCCATCCCAGTAGGTCACTCACCACGCGTCATCTTCTTCCAAGAGGTCAGGCAACACATTGACCAGGGCAATATAGAGAAAGCCTCCAGAGGTAAAGGGCAGGATCCAGAGCACTGTTCCCTCTGTAGGGAAGGGTCAGCTGGTGGTGAGCCCAGGGGACTGTATGGACCCCACCCTCTCCAGGGGACACCAGGCACGGGTGCACTTGGCCCGTGTGCCTCTAGTGACCACTCATACCTACTCCTTTGGGGGACTGTGCACAGATGGCAAAGCAGGCCCCCAGGAGGCCCCCCAGGGCTGTAGAGAACTGTAGCTTGGCTGCAGTCCATCGGTCAAAGCCAGCCCGGAGCAGGATAGCAAAGTCGCCCACCTGAGGAAAGGCCCCGATGGTCACCCAGAGCCAGACCACGAGAACGCCCAGCCTCCTCCTGTCTACCTTGCCCCTGGGCCAGGATCTAGTGAAGCTGTGACCCCTCTCTACCCACTTCTGTGGGCAGGCCCACCCCAAAGCCCTGGCCACTTCTGCACCCATGCTCAACATGGGAACCTTAGGATCTCTGACCTCGAGGTCACCCTCTGGGCACTTACCTCATGGGGGATCTCATGCAGGAGGATGGCCATGGTGGTTAGAAGCCCAATCTGCAGAGATGGGAGTCCGAGTTTGATGCCTCTGCTGGGTAACTAGATTTCCCCATACCCAGTCCCTTTGCAAACATGAATCCTCTGGGTGGGACAATGGCGATTGGAAAGACAGCAGTGACTCAAGGAGACAAGGAGCCTGCCTCCCAGCACTAACAGCCTTGACACTGCAACATGGTGTGTCATCCACAGGTGTGCTGGCCACATAGCACACTGGCACACAGGCAACCCCTAGCGGCGGTACAGACAGTATTGCGAAACAAACACCTGTGTGGTTTCACACACGAGGAGCAGTGCTGTGAAGATACAGACGGTGCCTTGGAGGACAGGTGCTTAATTGGGGGACGACAGTGGCAAAGGCCCCTTGGAAGTACATGTAAAGTAAGGCCCGAGGGATAGGAGTCAGCTGTTCTGAGTGCGAGGAAGAGCATTCCAGGAAGAGCGCACAGCGAATAGAATAGCCAGCGTTAGGGTGGACAGACCCCTGGGGCCGGAACACAAGACCGTGGGAGGGGAGGGGAGAAGCATCTACTAGTGGGCAGGGCCAAGTCTAGGAGCTTGATAGAGACGTCCAGGCAACAAGAACGGCAGCATGGTGCAGCAGGTGCCATGGGGGGGGGGGGCAGATGTTAAGAGCGCTCACTGCTCTTCCTGAGGACTCAAGTTCAGTTCCCTGCACCCACATTAGGTAGCTCACCACTGCCTGTAACTCCAACTCCAGGGGATCCAAATCCAGCTTGAGGCTCTTTTGGCCTCCAAGAGCTCACAAATGTGACACCAGCGCACACATGCAAATAAAAATAAATCTCGGAGGACAATAAAGGTCAAGGGAACAATGAAGACATGAGCAGCACCCAGCAGAGGGATGGGGACAGGCTTTCATAAAGGCTGTTAACAAAAGCGAGAAGCAGAGACTGTTTTGGAGGTGATCAAATTGGCAGACACTGGTATCATTCCCACCACAGATGCCAGAATCTACCTGCCCCGCTTACCTTTTTGCTCACAAGGAAGCTGGCGGCCACAGCTAGTCCGTGAGTGAAGTTGTCTATGGTGTTGGCCAGCAGGTTGAGATAGCCACTGACCTGGGTGAGGGGAGAGAAAGCCAGGCTGAGCCCGACAGACAGAGCTGAGCTGGCCATTCAGCTCTGCAGCTGCAGGAGGGGGCCCTCATGGGCCACTCACTTTGAGGTTCCGGACCACGGCTCTCAGGCCGGGCTCTGCAGCCGGCTGGGCCAGACAGTGGCCTCCATTGAGCGCGGCAGCAGTGGGGTCTTTGCTGAGGGCCTACGGCCAGAAGAAGGAGAGAGAGAGGTGACATTAGATGCCCCCCACTCAGACAGGCAGACAGAAAAAGAGAGGAGGACAAGAGACACAGAATACCTCTTTGATCTAGATTTTGCTGATCCATCAGCTAGGTTCCCCAGACCTCAACCCCACATTGCTGTCATTATCTGGCTATAAGATCAAACTAATTCAGAGGCTGATGCTGTCACTGTCATGGGTTTCCTAAAGAAGTGGTCCACCCTCCCATGGCTCTCAGGGAAGACAGTCAGGAGGTACCTTTGGAGGACTTAACTCAGACCCTGGGCTTCTCCAGGCCCTGGGTACTTACTTTAGAAAAGAAAACAAAACTTATATACTCAGGCTGTAGGGCCTGTGGCTCACCTGGCTGGGGCCCTCTTTCTCCTTGCTATTCAGGAACATCTTCTCCAATGCCAGAAAGGTCAGGAAGCCAGCAATGACCCATAGCCCCAGCTGCTGCTGCTGCTGCAGACTCTGCCCTTCACCACCTGCAGGGGGAGCACTAACAGGCCATGCCAAGCCAGTGGCTAGAAGGGAGCCATTTGGAATGGGACCTAGAACAGGGCTAGTTCAGGGAGGAGGGTCTGGGGATGGGGAGCATCTGCTGAACAAGCAGCTAGGCCCTAGGGCTCCCGGGGAGGCCAGGGCATTAGGGTTAGACCTTCCCTCTCAGACAAGGCTCCTGGATCTCTCATATCCTCCCCCAGCCCCTGTAGAGCCTTCAGGACCTAGGCTAACCCTGGGCACTCCTATTCTGTCCTGGGGTCTCACTCACCGGGACTGATGCTACACGTGTAGGCCCACGCCTCTGGCAGCAGGTGCAGAAACACATTGCCCAGGAGTCCACCCAAGGCAAAGCTGAGCAGCTGTTTCAGACGCCAGGCTCCAGCTGCAAAGCAGAGATGTGAGGTCCTGCACTGAGCGTCTGCTCCCAAGCTCACCCATTTCTAGACTACAAGCTCCCAAAGGCTACTGCGTTTCCAAAGGCTACTGCGTTTCTGGTAGCTCTTCCTCAACCCAGAGGCCCAGCAAGGGCAGAGTGTTCAGAAGGAACATGTAACAGCCTGGAGAACCACTGTCTCACTGACGACCACGTATTGGTTAAGAAATGGGCTAGGACCCCGGCAAGTTCCAGCTCTCCAGCCCATCTGCTGGCATCCAGAAGGTAACTTCTGAGACTCAGTTTCCCCATGTATAAACTGGATCTTGTCAGAAGTAAACAAAGAATAAAGCAAATGTTCATTAAATGGGAATTGCTCTCCTCAGCCAGTGCCACCTTAGAAAACTTATAGAAACTTGGGGACTTTTACGGCTTGCACATCCAGATTCAGAAGTGCTTATCAGTTGACAAAACAACCGAGGCCTAGAAGACAGGGGACCCCCGGGGACACTGCCTTTTCCAAGCTAGCCGGGCAGCACTTGTAAAATGTAGCCAACACTCCCAAGTGCATCCTGGACTGGCCCTGCCCTGCCTTATTCCCCAAGCTACCCCATCCGCTGGCTGTCTGAAGTGGAACACTTGTTGCATGGTATGATCCCAGGAGGGTTTGGCTCACAACTTGTAGCAGCTATCAGGAGCCATCTAATTTATTGAATGGTTCCTGAGCATGGCAGATAGCAAAAGGCTAAGGTATTCAGTGTTTATTCATTTATTAGTGTGTGTGTGCGCGTGCATGCGTGCATGTGTGTGTGTTTGTGTGTGTGCACACGTGCGCGCGGGGAGGGCAGAGGACAACTTTGGAGAGTCTGTTCTCTCCTTCCATCTTTGCATGGGTTTCAGGAATGAAGTCAGTTTGCCAGGTTTGCAGAGCAAGCACCCACTGAGCCATTTCACCAGCCCTTCTATTTCTTTGTTAAAGATTTATTTTTTCTTTTAATTAAATGCATGCATGTGAGTTGCAGACAGTTGTGAGCTGCCTGACATGAGCTGGCAATTGAGTCTGGGTCTTCTGGAAGAGCAGAGCTCTGCATAGCCTGCATGGGTACTGCTCATAGCTGAGCCACCTCTCCAGCCCCTGCATGCTTTTTATATTTTGAGAAAGGGGTTCATGTAGCACAGGTTGGCCTCTGCCTGGCTATATGGCTAAAGATGACTGTGAACTTCTGATTCTTCTGCCTTGGGCTCTGGGATTTTCAATATATACTACCATATCCAGTTTTACGAGGTGCTGGGGCTTGAACTCCTGGGTACCAGCTGTGCTACATCCCAGCCTCTACACCACTAGCTAAAACTGGGGGGGGAGGCAGCACTTGCTCACCTCCAGACCAGCCTGTAAACACCCGCCCCTCCACTGCCCCAGGCAATCCTCCAAGTGCCTCATCTAAACAACTTAGTAGCAGTACTAGTGTCACTGGGGTGTGGGGGTGCTGGCCTTGAGCATGTTAGGCAACCATTCTCCGACTGAAGTGCATGCTCAGACTTATTATCCCTATTTATTCATTTATTTTGGTTTTTCTGAGACAGGGTTTCTCTGTGGCTTTAGAGGCTGTCCGGGAACTAGCTCTTGTAGACCAGGCTGGTCGAACTCACAGAGATCCGCCTGCCTCTGCCTCCCGAGGGCTAGGATTAAAGGCATGCGCCACCAATGCTCAACTTTATTATCCCTATTTAAAGTCTGGCAGACTGACGCAGAGTGAGGTTAAGTAACTTGCCATGTATTACTTAGTTGGTGGGTGGCAGGGCCAGGATTTGAGGCCAGGTAGTGTGGCAGCCATATTGCCAGCCATTGTTCATACTGAATCTGGGGAATGCTTGCTGAATGAAATAAGAAACAGATGCATGCATGCATGAACAAGTGAATATGTACACCTTATTCCCACAGGACCAAGGTGACACTGCTCTCCATGCCAGACATAGTGTACCTGATACATGAGACCCTGCATTTCCCTTCTAGCTGATTCTCAGGGCCACTGAAGGGTCACTCACCTTCTGAGCGCAGCATGGTCCCCATCTCCAGGGGAATGACCAGCAAGGGGAAAACCCCACTGAGCCCAACCATGAGAGAGCCCACGAGGGAGCAGATCCAGGTGTCCAGTTGCTCCCCACTCAGCAAAGCCCCCCAGGACTCGCTTCCTTTATTATCCAGGCGACAGGCAGCCGCAGCCCCCAGGCTCCGGAGGGCTGGCTGAGAACCTCCGACCCTTCCCAGAAGCTCCAAGACAAGCAAAGTGAGGAAGAGGGCCCTTTGGCCTGCCATACCACAGCCAAGGCAGGGACATCCAGGCATGCCAGGTGCTAGAAAACACAGATGGCTGATGTGAGCTGCCTGCTTAGACCACACTCCCACTTAGGAAGCCCAGCATTTCCCCCCCCACCCTGTCTCAAGCGGCCATGGCGTCACCCTCCTGCTTGCTCTACAGAGGACACAGAATCCCAGAGGTGGGTGTCCAGAGCAAAGGGGTTCTGCTCCTCTACACTTCTCCCAAGAACCACACATTTTTTCCTTCTGAGCTGGCTGCAGCCCTTGTGTCAATGCGTCCGCCTGAGGCTAAACTTTCCCTAATGACTGGGTGAGGCACTGGCTGGGTTTCCTTCAGTCACCGAAGGGCCCATCCCTGCTGGGTGTCTCTAGCTGCCAGGAGAGGCCTGGCTGCCAGGATGAGCCTCTGCAGACACTCCAGAGTCTAAGGCCAGCACTCATTAGCTTGATGGGGCGGCACCAAGGAGCACAGGTGTGGAAACTGAGCAGTGGTTCAGACCCTGTCCCCTTAAACGATCTCTTGGGTACCAAGAGACAAGTGGGCCATAAGAGATGCCTTAGAGGGGCTGGAGAGATGGCTCAGGTTAAGAGCACTGACTGCTCTTCCAGGGGTCCTGAGTTCAATTCCCAGCAACCACATGGTGGCTCACAACCACCTACAATTCAATCTGGTGTCCTCTTCTGGCATGTAGGTAGAACACTGTATATGTAATAAATAAATAAATAAATCTTAAAAAAAAAAGAGATGCCTTAGAGATGCTAAGCCACAGGTTATGGTGACTTGTGGCTAATTCGATGATCTAGATTTTAAGCCGTTTGACTGTGGGAAACTCCTGTAGTCCCTTCCGAGTGGCAGTGTCTTCATCAGGGAATGGAGCTGGTACTGCCTTCCTCGCAGAGCTATAGGTATGAGCTTGATACTACAGGTAGTTGTGGTGCGGAGGAGGGAACATAACCCCTGTGAGCCAGAGGAGGCCTGGAGCACTCCCAGCAGGAATGTGCCCTGCAGACGGATCACCGGATGGAGATATGAGTCAACCAACCAAGAAGTTAATCTGGGAAGTTTAAGCGTGGTCTGCCCTGTCTTACACTGACTATGACCTTGACTGCCTCAGTTCCCTCATCTGCTAATGAATGTGAAGACAGAAATCATCTGCTCTGGTTGGTGGAGTAGAAGCCTATGTCTGGGACCTTCAGGCCTTAGTGAGACCCCCTACAGCCATCGCAGCCACCACCACCACAACCAAAAAAAAAGGGGGGGGAGGGAAGCTTCACTGGGACCACGGCAGGCCCTAGCCAGGTCAAGTCCTTGGCGGGTCATACAGAGGCTAGGGGACCACGGGTTTAGCGGAGAAGTATGGAGAGAAAGGAGACAGCGAGAGAACGGAGGAAAGGAGAGTCAAGAAAGTGAGCCACAGAGTGTCTGGTGGAAAGAGAGGACCAGAAACGGGGCAGCGGGAGAGATGAGGGGCAGAGTGCCGGACGACGGCGATAAGGAAGAGTCAGAAGCAGGTCCTAGACTCTGGACGAGCGGTCACCGGTTTGGGAACCAACACGGTCCATCCCGCCCCGGGCGCGGGCCTGAGGGTCCAGCGGTCACTCACCGTGCGGTGGCAGCGATGGCAGAGGTGGCGGCGGCGGCAGCTGCTGAGCTCCGGGCGGGCCCGGCCATCCAGCTGCAGTCTCGCGCCCCGCCCCGGCTCTGCCTCGCCCGGCCCCGCCACTAGGCCCCCGGCCCGGAGCCACCCCCGGCGCGCAGCCACGTCACCCGGGACAGTCCGGAACCCGACGCGCCCGGCTCCGGGGGGCTAGACGGAGCGGCGGCGGGGGGGCGCTTCCGCCTCTTAGCCGTGGGGGACCCGCGCGGTCAGCGCACTTCCGCTCGGGCCGGATTACGGGGCTGCGGAGAGGGCAGGACGGAAGTGGGTAGCCCCGTGGGCACCGCGTTTAGTCAAGCTAAACTAGGATGAGGGCGGCTGCCACGCGGGGACCGCGATTAACGGGGCGGCCGGGCTTGAGACTGGCAGCTGTCTTCCTTCTGGGATGCAGTCCCAGCAGTGGCCACACGAGGGCGCGCGTGGATGCCAGACCGCTCCGTCCCGGGATAAGAGCTTGGCTGTGGTTCTCTTGAGTCAGCCAGAGGGCCTGGCTCCTCCATGAGCTAGGGAAAGGGGAAGTGCCTGCCACAAGGAGGGGCCTGGCCCCGGTACCTCAGAAGAGGGAATTTTATTCTTACTCATCGAATTATTTTTATGCTTTGGTTTTTCACTTGGAACCTCAGGCCACTGTCTCCAGGACAGTAACCCTTTGAGGTCCAATGCATGCTTCTAGATCCTGTGCCCTGGAATTCGAAACCTGGGCACAAAGGGCTTTGCTTCTCTTAACCCTACACAAGCTGGGCCTGAACTCATGGACTACTTGAGCAATTAATGGCAATAATTACTCTAGTTCCCTGATTAGTGTAGCCTCTTACTGTTTGAACATCCACTATGTGCCACTCAGTAATTAGTGTTATGTCACCAAATCCTCGTCTTTACCCTCCAGATGGATACTTACTTTTGGCCTAGGGTTGGGCAGCCACTCAGATGGCAGAACCAGAATTCAACTCAGATGTACCCAGGGTGGTAGCCGCCTCATTTCGAAGCCTGAACACAGGTGCAAGCGTGGCCTAAAATCCCCTTTGCATCCTTTCCTGGGAATTAGTCAGCAGCAGGCGCAGGAAAACATTCAGTGGAGGCCAAATGAGAACTCCCCTGCGCAGACTGTAGCAGAGGGTCTCAAGTCTCTGGTCTCATTAGCACTCACCCCCTAAGGCAGCCCTCTACATCTGAGTCTGGCCACTTTTCCTCTGGGTGCTCTGAGAGCAGACTGAACTCTCACACGCTACCGCTGATGCCTCACCTACCTCATGTGTGTGTGTTACATATATGTTTGTTCATTGTGTATTGGTTTATTTTATTTTGAGACTGATTTTCTCTATGTAGCCCTGGCTGTCCTGGAACTTGCTATGTAGATGAAGCTGGCCTTGAACTCACAGGGATCTGCCTACCACTTCCTCCTCAGTACTGGGATTAAAGACATGTGTGCCACCATTCCTGGTTTATTTATTTATATTTTTTGATATAAGGTCTCATCCTAGACTGTCCTTGAACTTGATATGCAGAAGATGACCTAGAATTTCGGGACTCTTGATTATAGGTAAGACTTCCACACCAGGTTTATGTAGGCTGACACCAAGGGCATTGTGCATGCCAGGTAACAAGCTATCAGCTACATCCACAATACTTAATATCCCCACACACACACACCAAGACAGGGGTTCTCTGTGTAGCCCTGCTGTCCTAGAACTCATTCTGTAGAACAGGCTGGCCTTGAACTCACAGAGATCCACCTGCCTCTGCCTCAGGAATCCTGCGATTAAAGTAGTGCGCCACCACACCCAGATGATATACTCTTAACATTTGTGCTTTCTAGACTGCCAGCTCCTTTCCAATGCTTGCTGTCTGGCTTTCCTCACCAGCCCCAACCATCTCCCCAGATGTGCTCTGGGCTCTTACGGAAGTTCTGAAACAGAATGCCCAGTCAGAGTCTTTGCCAGGAGGAGATGTTTGGCGATGCCACACTGGAACTTGAAAGATATCTTCCTCCCAGTATGCAAATCATGTCATCTTATGCAAAGCACCTCACAATATGCAAATGATTTCACAATAACACTGTCAGCATTCCTGTCTCTAGAGGTCAAGGGGCTCCTGAGCACCCAGGATGGGCACAACAAGACCCAGCTAGAAATACTACTTGCTATTACTTTCTTCCCACCTGGCCTGGAAGGTCCGCCTACAGAACCCAATGAATGAAAGAAGAAAGCATGTGGATTTGGATCATGAGCGGGGTCTTCAGGTGGAAGGTGCATTGTTTGAAACACTGGCTTTGGTAGGGAAAGTTAAAAAGTTGATCCTGGGTGGATGGACCTGAGCTCAGTGTCCAATGATGAACCTGAGCCGGTTCAAATGATGGCTCACAAGCGTCTGTGACTGCATTTCCAGGGGATCTGGTGCCCTCTTCTGATCTTAAGGAGCTCTTCACACATGTGGAGCACATACCCAGGCACAGGGCCAGCCTGGTCTGCATTGTGGGTTCCAGGCACGTTACGGTTATGTAGTGAGACCCTGTCTCTAATTTTTCAAGATAGAGTCTTACTCTGCAGCTCTGACTGGACTGAGACTCACTCGGTAGACAAGGGTGGTCTCGAACTCGCAGAGATCTGCCTGCCTCTGCCTCCCCGGTGCTGGCATTAAAGGCGTGAGCTGCACCGCCCACTTTAATTTTTTTTAATTCTTATATATTGCATCACGAACATAGCTTCCCCTCCTCCCTCTCCTCTCCCTCTCCACTACCCTTTCATCTCCCCAGATCCATTCCTCCTCCATATATATATTTTAAAAGTTGATTGGGAGCCGGGCGTTGGCGGCACACACCTTTAATCCCAGCACTTGGGAGGCAGAGACAGTTGATCTCTGTGAGTTCAAGGCCAGCCTGGTCTACAGAGGGAGTTCCAGGACAGCTAGGAATGTTACACAGAGAAACCCTGTCTCAAAATACAAACAAACAAAAGTTGATTTGGGGTTAAGGAGATGGCTCAACAGTTAAGATCACTTGCTGCACAAGCGTCCAGACCTAAGTTCAAGTCCCAGAGCATACATAAAAAGGCAAGCTTGTTGGGGAGGGTGAGGAAGCTCAGTGGTAAGACCCTGACTGTTTTTGTAGAGGACGAGGCTCAGTTCCTAGCACCCACAGCAGTTGGCTCATAACCACTACAGCTCTGCCTCCCAAGAGCTGGGACTAAAGGCCTGTGCTAGCACCTAGCTGGGTTCTTATGGCAGGGCCCAGGGCCAACACTTGTGGCCAAAAGCAGTCTCCAACTCCTGACTCTTCCCTCATCTTTCCCCCAGCATAATCCAGACTCAGGACCCATACCACCACATACCACACCCAGCTTATTGTTACTATTGGTTTCTCTAAGTAGCTCCAGCTGGAATTCACTTTCTAGCTCAGGCTAGCCAACATCTGGGTATTTTATAACTTTTTACATTATTCTAAATCAGGTGTAGGGGTGCACACCTTTAATCCCAGCACTTGGGAGGCAGAGGCAGGTGGACTTCCTGTTTCTGGAGACCCAGCGCCCTCTTCTGGCCTCTTCAGGCACACACACACACACACACACACACACACACACACACGTGGTGCACATACATCAGATAAAACAAACATTCCTACACATAATATAATCAGAAGCACAAATAGCTTTTAAAGGTCCTGTGGGCTCAGGATGTGCGTCTCAGTAGCGGAAAGTCTGCTTAGCCTGCAACAAGCCCCGGAGTCATTCCCAGCACTGCAAAGTCATCACCAGTAAACTCCCTCTGCCTGCACCTTCCAGGCAAAGTGCAAGAGAGCTCAGATGCAGACGGTCCATCTGCTACAACTGGCTATCTTCAAATAATGACAAAAAGGAAAATCATATACGTATACGCAGTTAGAAATGTTAGGGCTCTGCATCTATGTAGTGAGGAGTGAATGGAAAATAGAGAAGAGAGTTGGGTGTGATGGTGCACGCCTTTAATCCCAGCACTTGGGAGGCAGAGGCAGGCGGATCTCTGTGAGGCCCAGCCTGGTCTACAAGAGCTAGTTCCAGGACAGCCTCCAAAGCCACAGAGAAACCCTGCCTCCAAAAACCAAAAAAAAAAAAAAAAAGACATTCTTTTTAAAATTTTATGCATGGGTTATGTGTGCAGACCAGGCATGTCTCTGAGTTTGAGGCCAGAGAAAGACATATAGTGATATCCTTTCTTAAAAAAAAAAAACTTGTTTCCGGGGACAAATTATTTAACTCCCTATGCCTCAGTTTCCTTATCTATAAAACAGATGAATGTGATGGACAGGTTGTGGTTTTGGGTGTTTTGTTTCATTTGACTTTTAGACAGGGTTCCTGTAGATGAGGCTAGCCTTGGGTTTCCTATGTAGCCAAGGCTTACCCTTTGCTCTTGAACTCCCCCCCCCCATTCTGGACTCTGGGATGGCAGATTGCACCACTCTCATTCTGGACTGGATTATGGTGAGGAGTAAATGCTTGGAAACACTCATACGGACCCAGCAATGGGAAGATTTACATGAGGGTTACATTAAAAATTATTTGTGCTTGTAGTGCTGGGGGCTTGTGTGCAGGAACCTGAAGAAGCCAGCAGAGCGGGGCTGAATCCCATAGAGCCGGAGTTATAGGCTGAGAGCTGCCTGACCTAAGTGCTGGAAACTGAACTCTGGTCCTCTGCAAGAGCAACAAACTTTCTAACCACTGAGCCATGTCTCCAGTCCAAAGGTTAGATATTGATATTTGTTGTATGCATAGTTTTTTTTTTTTTTTTGGTTTTTCGAGACAGGGTTTCTCTGTGGCTTTGGAGGCTGTCCTGGAACTCGCTCTGTAGACCAGGCTGGCCTCGAACTCACAGAGATCCGCCTGCCTCTGCCTCCCGAGTGCTGGGATTAAAGGCATGTGCGCCACCAACGCCCGGCTTGTATGCATAGTTTTATATGCTTTATGTATATGCAAAAAAATGTTAAAAGAGCAGAGGCATCAAGAAACAAGGTGGAGCCGGGCGTTGGTGGCGCACATGCCTTTAATCCCAGCACTCGGGAGGCAGAGGCAGGCGGATCTCTGTGAGTTTGAGGCCAGCCTGGTCTACAGAGCCAGTTCCAGGACAGCCTCCAAAACAATACAGAGAAACCCTGTCTCGGAAAACCAAAAAAAAAAAAGAAACAAGGTGGGTTTGTCCTTTCTTGCTGAGAAATATGAACATTTCCTGGTGCTTATCCGATTATCAAAGACTCTAAGGGCTTCCTGGGCTAAGTGATGGACACACAAACCTCTGCACCGTGGATCTGTGTGGCCAGGC